ATTTTCCATACTAATTTATGGTCACCAACTGATGCAAGAAAAACAAAATTTTTAAACAAAATTTGGAAGGTTCTAAAAAGGATTAAAAAAATATAATTTAATAATCAAAAAATTCTTTGAACTTTCCTTTTAATATCAACAAAGAATAAAAATAAGTTTGTGGAATTTTTTTTTATCATGTATGCTCAGTTTTTAGTGAATCTTTGGAGGTACCTAGATAAAAGTAAATCATTTGTCAACATCAAGTGACAGATGATTCTCAGTCTGAAGTTATTTACTAAGCTTTGTTTAGTCTGGCACAAGACAGGATTAAACTCACTATTATATTAGCAAAATAGTCTAAAAGAAGAGCTTACTAACTGCTTTTTTTGACAAGTGCCAATTATCCTATTGTTATTTAACAGATCCTACTATTTAGGTGTTTATCTTGTGTAACTTTAAATAAATTGGTCTTGGTTTGGTTTATGGCATATCAACCTCAATGGGTTATTTAATGCTGACAAAATTTTTATTGCTGGTAATTTTTTTTTCTTTAAAATATGTATTGCTGGTAATAGCTTTTTTTTTTTTCAAAAATCTGTTGCTAGTAATAAATTTTTTTACAAAGTATTTCTGGTATTAAAACTATTTTTTCATTTTCATAGACTTTTGACCCCAGTTTGGGGTTATCTATTTGCCCATAGTTGAGACCCTAACAGGTGCTACCACCCCAGGTTAGGTTAGACCTGGGAACACCGGCAATTAAGAGGTAGTTCCATGCTCCTCAAAACCTCCTGATCTTGCTGTTGGATGTAGTTTATTGTCTTACCCAGGACATGGATGTAGTTTATCATCATACCCAAGATGGAAATAAATTGGGGGAGAATAAATCAATACCTTTCATTATATGGGAAACATTTTTCTCACTTCTACCTTCATAACTAATTCTATGATAATCTTTAATTATTAAAACCCTAATATACAAACACTTGTATATGAAATATCACTTGGTCTGTCCCATGATTACCATTTATGAAATCAGTCTCTGAAAATGCATGATTTTTAATCTCTTCAAAAAATTATCTGTGTATAGGGCAACCTCTATTTTTTGTATAAAAAACTGATCACAAAAACTTACAATATACTCAAGTATATACGGTGTCATGCCTCTTACATTTTTCAGCACAAACCAGATGTTGACCACTTGACAACCCAAAGCAGACTATGTAAATACATTTTCTGCACAGGCTCTATGCATACATCCACTTCAACCAAAATAAAACAAACAATTTATTGACCAGTCAGAGCCACTCTTGCTCCAAAAACCAAAGCTTTAATTCAGTGCCAAACAATGGCTATATATTCTCTAAGTCAAACAATCTCAACACAAACCAACTTGGATGTCAACACTGGAAAACTGAGAGACACACACACTCTCTCTCTCTCTATATTATATATATATATATGTGTGTGTGTGTGCAACACACACCAGCCTGTCAACACCAATGCACCGAGAGAGAAACAACAGTGGCAGCCATCAGCAATGTCTAATTTCACCATTTTCACTCTTGTTAGTAATAGATAAAAAGGTACTAGTTTTGTATATATGCAAATAAATTATACATTTATTTGCCCATACTCAGATGTGTTCTTTTTTTACTAGAATTTACTTTTGTCAATGCAGACAAGGAATTAACTTCCACAACAGTAACAACAAAGTTCTGTCTTCCACGTTACTCATTTCTGCCACCACAACAATGGTATTAGCATCTACTAAATCATCAACATGTACACACTCTCATATACATTTAGTTTAATATATACACATTTTCAAAGGATTTATGTATGCAATGCAGGCTTCACGTTTTTTTCCAGGATAAATAATTTTTGTGTAATATAAAATTATTTATTGATAATTTTCACTATCCCCATTGTATTTGGGATATTTTTGTATTTCTCATTCTTTAGGATAAATTGTAAGCAAGTGATGTTATTTAAAGAGAGTAAGTAACGGTGGAGTAATGGATAGTAGCTTGGATTGAGGAATCGGAGAGCCAAGTTCGAATTCCAGTCGAATCCATTACATTCACTTACGTGCTAATACTCTTGGGAAAGGGTATAAATCCTCTTCTTCTCCCCCCAGGTATGGGTTAATAGCAGGACAGACTGGGTTTTATGGCCTTGGGTGGCAACAGGTCTACCGCAGAAAGAAATGGCAACCTACTGTGGGGAAAAAAAACTGCCTCGTCAGTCATGTATCAAAAGATACATGATCGCCTAAGCATGTATCATGCACAGCACATAACTGACTGAAGTAGAGAAAGCTCCTGTTTGCTTAGTGAGAAAAAAAAAAGCAGTGAAATAATTTTTCTGTTTTATTCCCTTTGAGTAAGGAGAATGAAAGAAAAAAAAAAAGCCAAAAGTGTGCAACGTCAAAGAGAGAAAGGCAAAGAAAAGCAGAATTTTTGCTACTTGCCTTCCAGCTGTATTATTGCATTTAACATATTTTCTACAGAAGTGATGGTGTATGTATTGCTTCATGCAGCCAAGACTTGACTATTTGAAGGACTTAAAACTTTTCTTATAGAGTCTGAGAGATTCAGACAAGAAATAGGTATTTAAGTCAATCAGCAAGTTTGATTTATTGACGATTCTGTTTATCTCATACAATTATTTGATACTGAAGAGTTGTAAGTAATGTCTGTCAACTCTAATGTCACATCAAGAGTTATGTTTTTACTGTTTTAAAAAGATTTAAAACATGGAGAGTATTCTTGATCCCTTCTTAAGACCTGGATTCTGTCATGTGACCACTACCTAGAATTCTCTTATTGACCAATTCACACTTGGAGGAAAATGGAGCAACTGGCAAAATTTAATTTTTGTGATTAAAAACAAAGTTTTCATCCACTTGTACATTCCAATGCTTTAAAATTTAATTTTAAATATTTAAAATAGCATGCAATCTAGAATAAAGGAGATTTTTAGTGTGGTTGTCATATTTGCACATTGTTATGTACATTCACTTAATTTGGTGCTCTTTCAATCAACTTCAAGTATCCATGAATACTGAATTTTCTTCCAAACATTGAAAGGAATTTCAACTTTTTTTCCCAAAGTCAGTGGCTTGAACAGCACTACTGGATAAAATTGTTGGAAGGTGATTTCTAAAAGATACCAAAGATACATTGAAATTAATCATCTCGGCGACTATCCATTTTGACTGACAAAATTACTGTGTTTTCTGAGTAATTTCCAACCATATTAGAAAATTCAGAGGATTGAAAAGTGCTTCAGAATTAACATAGGCAAGGTGATTCATTGCAATTCTAGAACATTTTCAATCTAAATATTTATTATTGGTTTATGAAACCATACTGAGTGTCTCAGAGATTCTATTTTTGATTCTTCCAAAAAGTTTGCTTGATATTTCAAGGTGTATTTTTGAGGTTGAGAACTTAAAAAAAAAAATTCAATTGCTTAATATGATGGCCAAATTTGAGGAATTTTACTGCCAGGTTCTGGATGATGTTGCAGAACAACCAGAGAAGCATCATCAGCATCAAGAACTGGAAGCCATTTTTTGTTGAATAGGATTTTGGATGACGCTATTGTTCATGTTGATCAAATATCTAAAACAATGGGAGAACTCAGGTTTGTTGAATCCAAAGTTTTCTTTTTTTCATACTTATCAGAAAAAATTTCTCATGAAAGCATTTTCATCTTGGAATGTCTATAAAAACATATTGGATTTGAATAGTTTGAAATGTGGGCTGATATCAGTGTCTGCTGCAGATTTTGCAATGCAAGCATCCAAGAAGTTGCAGGCATAATACAGGAACTTGAACTAAAAACTAAATTTTGGCTGAAGTAACCAAATTATGTGATTCTGCTTGCTGTGAGAGATCGTTTTCTTTATTAAAGCAAGTAAATAATTATGTGGTGTTCTCAAAGTGAAGAGAGATTGAGTAATTTGGTCTTCATTTTGATGAATAAAGACTTTGAAAAAGATGAAGTTAGAGCATGGTGTTGATACATTTAAACCAAAGTGATCAAGGAATTTGACAAAAAGAAACAAAGAATTTAACTGATTTACAAATAAATATTAAATATCTCATTATTTGGAGGTTTTATTATTTTTCTCTTGTAACCAATAATGGTCATCATGGCAGTCCTATCATCAGGGTATTACTAATGGTGGCTACATCAAGTCCTGTTGGTAGAAGTCCATTTTCTCACCTTAAAATTAGTTTATATTATGTTCACAGATGAAGAGAGTAGATAATTTTCCACTGTTGCACTTGCCGCTTGGCCTGCATGACCTATATTCCAAGTTACCCTTTGCTACTACAGTATACATTTTGACATACATGCACACGTTATACATGCACATAGACAGTCTCTCTGGAAATTAACCAGTCATTTTGAGAACCAGTCTCTCCAAAAAGTAACAAGTCATTTTGATTATCTTGAGAACCAGTTATGCAGCGTTGGTGTAACTTGGCAACTACTCAGAGAAGACCTTACATATATTTGTAACAGATATTCTTCTATAAGGTTACTAAATCAGTAATGTGACATTATTAATGAGCTTCTGTACTATGTGACCACCAAAATCATAAAATATATTATGGCAGAGTTGTTTTTATTTTTTTTTGAAAAACATCACATAACTAAGGTTATCTATGACTTCTTGTTCTTCCTCAAAGTTAACAGTGGAATTGAAATTAGAACAAAACACAATGATGCAACTAATGGTGATTCTGAAGACTGTTTTGAAAGGTGAAAGGGATGCTGGAATAAATGAGTAAAGTCCCAAGGAGAGCACTTTGAAAAAGACCATGGTACCATTGTCCTAATTAGTCTATTTTTGGTGTTCTAAAAAAGAAAAAAAATTTCTTCCAGACAGATCTTTTGTGTGTGTGTATATTTTGCATGCACTTTTCTTTTACAAGAATACAGCCAGTAAGAATTGAATAGTAGTTGGTTAGTATTCAAAATAAGAAAGATAGATAACTTACATGTCTGTCATTTAAGGAACCACTTGCATAAATAGAGTGGTCAGATTTATATGGACCCTGTAAAAAAAATAAAAATAAATAAATACAAGATCATTCAAAAAATAATGATTGAGTATTTGTTTTTTTACTAAATAAAGAAAATTAAAAAAAACACACATACATACATTATATAATTTATTATAAAAGTGGACATTGCAGTCAACACTCAGCAGTGACAGTCTGTTTCATGCTTAAATGCTATTTATATAAATGGTCAGTGATGCATTATGAGTAGGTCTACTGTATTAGTCTAAGGGTTATTTGGGTGGGTGGTAATGGTTATTATTTTAGGGGCTATTGAGTGGAAATGATTATGGATCCAGGTACAGTTTTGTGGCTATTTTATAGTGTTGTTTGTTAATATTTTTATTATTTTATTGTTGGTAGTTGTTATTGCATTTACTTGTGTAAATTTTATGCTATTGATCCAACCAGACTTCTAATATATATATATATATATATATATATATATATATATATATATATATTTATAAATATATTATTTTAAAACTCCATTAGAGAATGAGATATGAAGAAAAAAAAATGAAACAAATTCTAGCATTTTTATGTTCATTGGTTAATCTGGTTTTATGTGCATATGACTTATTAAACAAACATTAATATAATTTATGGTGTTCTGAATTCAAGGAGTGATGATGCATCCATTTGAAGTTCCAAGAAATTAATGGATTCTTAGTCTGACTGAAATACTGTAAATATTGCTTTATGTATGTAAGTGTATAATAATTCTAGTTTGTCTATGTGGAATTCAGATGATAATGTATATTTGTGTGCATTTGTGTTTATGTCTAGTGGTTTTTCGCATGCTGATTTGGGAAAGTTTTTATGTACACACCATTTGTTTTAGATAAACATATTAGATTCTTTAAGAATGGATTCAATAAAGATTCATGATGTAATATATTTTTGATGTGTGTTTATGGTGGGTAGAATATTCATAAGTAATCCTTCAAAGGACTTTTGGCATAAAGAATAATGTTCTTTATAAATATTTATAAATATATGTACTTATAGTCTACCAAATAAAAAAAGTGTCAAAAACATTATATTAATTCACCAATCTTTATTGAATCCATTCTTAAAAAATTTAAAATGTTTATCTAAAACAAATCGTTTATATGTAAAAACCTTCCCAAATCAACATGTAAAACACCCCAAACACACGTCTCCTAGATACACACACACGTCTCCTAGAGACACACACACACACGTCTCCTAGATACACGCACACACACACGTCTCCTAGACACACGCACATACACACACACTTATGAATATCATCTTAATCTCACATAAACAAACTAGAATTATTATACACTTACATACATAAAGCAATATTTATGGCTTTTCAGTCAGGCTTGGAATTTAATTTCTTGAAACTTCAAAAGGACGCACCATCTTCTTTCAATTTGGAAGGCTATAAATTATAGATTGTTTAACAAGGTGTATGCACATGAAGCCTGACTGACCAATGAAAATCAAATAATGCAAAAATAAAAAATACCAGAATTTCTTTCTTTTTCTCCATATGTCATTCTCTGATGAAGCTTTAATAAAAGTGAAACATGTAAAATTGATAAACATTTCCTATTTATTCTCTAACTTGTCATTCTTTCAAATTCCAATTCACACACACACTATATATATATATATATATATATATATATGCACACACAAAAGAGGGGTGATGAAAAGTTTTCCACCTGAGAAAAAAAGTGATTCTAAAATAAATTTTAATGTTTTATCATTTGATTCTTTTGAAAACTGATAAATTTTAATGTTTTATCATTTGAACCCCTCAGTGAGGTTTATTATATATCTTTTTTGAAAGGGTACATGACTGATTTGAGGCTTCAATTTTTTTATCCATTCCAGTAGGTTTTAAAAAGGTAGCAAACAATTTTTCTGCATATAGAAATCTACAAATTAAGTAATTCTGAAACAGGTGAATGAAGAAAATTAGCCACAGGGGATAAAAAAAATGTAAATGGTTTCTGATCTGCAGTATAAATTGGTTAAGAAATGAAGAGAGGAACAGTAAAAACTGAAAATCAATTCTTAGGTTCATGTGTTTGTAGAATAAAGTTACAGTAAACTGCTGTAATATAAATATTTTATTACTTTTCAAGGAAGATTTTATTGCATAAACTTTTTGTTAATAGCTCTATTCAGATTTAATGACACTATTCCAGCAAATTCTACATCTATACTGTTATAACGTACTTCATAGTGCTTATAATATAGGTAATGCTTTGGCAACTTGCTATGACACCTGTATTACTTAGTCTGAAGACTGACTCCAAACAGCTTTTTTTTCATCTGACCTGGAGCTTTTTATTTTATAATTTTTATATCTTTTTATAAAATTTTGACACTGACTTTTTAAATTGGTTGCTTGTCCACTTACGTTTTTACAATAAACATTTATTGGTAAATCCCAAAGTTCAAATAGTTTCAACCAGACTACTGCATAAATTTTTAGCATTTCTTTTAATACATAAGCTTTAATTTTTGCATGCTTATTACAGAATGAGACATTACAAGTCATTTCTCAGAAAAAAAAAAAAAAAAAAAAATTTTCACCAGAAACTGAAATCACAACTTTTTAATGAAGGACTTCCAATCTCCTTCCATATAGTTTCACTGATTATTAAAAAAGAATCACTACCAGTGTCCATTAGTATTTTCACAACCACATTGTTTGTTTTCACATTCACAAATTTCCTTTAGTTTTCTGTGAGAATTTTTTCCATCACAATGCTGTGTATGAAATTCTTCCTGTGAGAATTTTTGCTTGATTTGCTTTTGTAGTGTGACTTTATATGTCCTCTTTTATCACACTTATAATATTCTGTATTTTTTAAAGGGACAGGCTTTTCCAAAACGTAATTTACCACATCTGAAACAAGGATTTATTCTCTCTTTTGCACATTTTTCCTTTACTTGTACCAATGCACATTCTCTTTTTGGACAGACTTAGAATTGTCTGGTAATCGTCTATTTCTTGCAGTGTAATATTACTCTTTTGTTCAATTTTCGTTAAAATTATCACTCATATTTCAGTATCTTTTTTAGCTGTTAAATCTTGAATGAAAATTAACCCTTTGAATGTTTTCATTATTCTAAACTTTTCACATTCTTTGTTGATGATACCAGCATACATGACAAAATCTTATCCTCTTTTTTAGTTAGATTCATGCACCTTCAACGAATATTAAAGAGAGCTCTTGTCATTAAAGATGTTCATCAGAATGTGTACCATGTTTTCAAACCATCTTTTTTTTCTTTTTTGGTAAAATGTAGTTGCAATATTTTTCATACCCTATCAGAGCTATTTTCCTCAACAACAATCCCGTTTTTCTCTCATCCTCCCAGTCGCTATATCTATAAAAATACACAGAAAAAAAAAAAATCAGTCTCTCGTCAGGATTGTATACAAATTCTGACATGGTGTTTCGGACAGCTTCTGGCGTAAGTGATGTTGAAAAATCTTTTGTTTTCTTCAGAATTGTATCTAACAACTCTTGTTTTTGTAGCTCTAGCAACTGTTGATTTTTATTGTTGCCATTTTTGCTTTTGAACTTCAACTGTTGAAGCCAAAATTTGCTCCATATTAGCAAGAATGTTTTTTTTACTACACCCAAGAGAAAAAAAATTTTTTTCTTCTACACAACAAAAAAATATTTGTTTTTTTAAACCAACGTGGTTAAAATTCTTGTTGTCATCATATCCTTGTTCCTGAAGCAACAAATATATTTTTTCTTTTCCAGTATGAGTTTCCAAAATCCTTATAACTCCAGTTACAATTCGTATGAGTTCCTGAATCTTAATAAGTCTTAATAAGTCATAAGAGTTCCAACTCCTCATCATAATGGTTATAAATCGCCTGAGTTTTGAATCCCTTATCACTACTGTTATAATGTACTTCATAGCACTTATAATGTAGGTAAATACTTCTGCAACTTGCTGTTACACCTGTATTACTTAATCTGAAAATGAATCCAAACAACTTCTTTTTTTCTCTGATGTGGAGCTCTTTATTTATAGTTATGGACTAGTTCATATTGTCATGGAGGTGTACTATTTACTCCACAATATATACAAAAATTCACTACCACCAAAATCAATAAAAACAGTAAAAAGCTAGGCCTTCAATGAGCTTTGTCTCCACCTTCTTGTGAAATGAAGTATCGAAGATATAACTTATGCACTAGTATGGGTCTGAAAGAGAGGGAGTCAGGATTTATATCTCAGTTTCAGACTTGCTGATCTGAGATTATAGCAAAAGCTGTCCCTATGGTCACAGTTAACATTCAAGGTTAAACGCTATTTAGACCAATGTCTGAACGTGACATCTATTCAACATGAGAGAACACTGACATCAGAGAGTTAGCAGAAGAGAAAAAAAAAATGTTCTTTCATTATCGTTTTGTTTTAAACTGTTAGTTCATCCAATAAAAGGCCCAAAAGCCACACATAGTAGAGGGTTAGACTGAGTAAGACTGTTGTAAGGGTGAAAGTAAGGAGTGTATATTATTAGGACATGTATGATGAATATCAGTTGATACTGAACTTGAAGAGAGCAAAATTGTAGTTCTCAGAGAAGCATTCACTCAGGTGTTCTATAAAATTATTTTGTCGAGGCTGGACAGTGTGAACTAGGGCACCAGCCCAGATACAGCAGCAATACTCCATTCTTGGATGGATTTAACTCTCGTAAAGATAAAGCCTGACTGCAGGAGTTATCAATTTTCTGGAGTGATTCTTCCAGCATCTTTTGCAATGGCACAAATATATGTGTCCCATTTGAGTTTGGGGAGTGAGATTTAGACCAAGTGAAGGGAAAATGAAAGGAATGACCCCATTAGAGGCACATATCAGAGGTGAGGAATGGCTGATGCAAAAAGAGGACGTTCAGAGGTGGACAGCGAAAGGAGAGAGAACGTTCAGAGGTGGACAGCAGAAGGAGAGAGAACGTTCAGAGGTGGACAGCAGAAGGAGAGAGAACGTTCAGAGGTGGACAGCAAAAGGAGAGAGAACGTTCAGAGGTGGACAGAAAAAGGAGAGAGAACATTCAGAGGTGGACAGTGAAAGGAAGGAACAGAGCTATTCAAAATCAACTGATGATTTTAGGAAGACATTTAAAAAATAAATTTAAGCTCAGCTATAATAAATGTAAAGTAAACTTCACTAGATTTGATAATTTATATATATGAACCTATTCAAAAAAATTATAATATTATTGAAAGTTATAACTTCAATAAATATGGACAAAAAAGAAAATTAACATGTTATCTGTCCTTCTGTTTAAAATGAAAAAAAATCAAATTTGTGCCTTCTTGGGCTCATGTTTTTCATTGACATGAAGTAGAGTGATTAGATAGAGACAATTGCTAAGTCTACTCCTAAGAAAGTGGGTTCACTGTGTCGTGTCATCCAAATTTCTCATCAGAATCCTTCTTGCACATATATAAATTTACCATTTGTCCATGCTTTGAATATTGCTGTCATATCTAGTCTGGTGCTCTTATTATATGGCCTGGGATTCTTGACAAAATTCAAAGAAAGTTTTGTAATGTAATCTATCATGACCTGGCATCTCAACTTTAGTCAATTTCTCACTGATGTAATGTGACTTTCTTCTGTCTTTTGTATAAATATTTTCATAGCAAATGTTCTGATTGTATGAATTTAAGCATACTACAAGACTAGCAACTAGGTTTCATCATTTTACAATTGAACTAGCAAGATGCAACTGTCAGTTCTATTCTAATATTTTCTTTTCTTGTCCATGAAACTCCTTTCAATTTCTTTCTACCTTGACACATACAATCTTCAAAAATTCAAATCCTGCAAGATAGTTGTCTTCTGTCTACCTGAATCCTGTTCCTTTGTCTTTTTCCTCACTAAAGTCTTCTCATTTGATTTCATTCCCTGTAACCCCCTTGTGTCTTGCTTGGAGTGAAATGATTAAAAAGAAATATTGTTGTATACAATATCTCATCAGCCATATTTATGACAGTAAATTCCTAGCCAGTGGGGAATACAAGACCACAATTAATTAAATTATTTTCACTAGAGAAATCAATCCACTTTCTTCCAGTATATAAAATATTTAAAGCAATGCTTTTTAAGTGAAGTGTTGCAACACTCTGACGTGTCACAGAGAGCATTTATTATTTAGGGGTACTATGTGGTTTGAAATTAACATAACATAATTGATAAAAAAAAACAAAAACAAATCTATTCAAAAAAAAAAATAAAAAAATAAAAATAAAGGGATAGTTCAATGAGAGTGAAAATATGCACTTAGCAACTTTTTCTTTGGGAAATTTTAACATACCAAGAAGGGGTTGACTAAAATAGTATGTATTTTTTGTTTTTTACAAATTCAGTGTTAGGATAAGTTAGCTTAATGAAACCTAAGGCCCTCACATAGCAGGCAAAGAGAAAGTTATGTTGCTAGTCAATCTTCTTTCAAATACAAATTTCTCCCTGATAGCTATTACAGAGTAAACAGATTTAAATTTAACCTGAAATTTTCAAACTTACTGTATGTTTTGAGGGAGAATAAAAACATTCTTGATTTTTGAAGGCATTATCTCAGTTTGTTGGTTCAATTGTCTTATTTTGTTTATGATCAAAATGTAGCATCTGTTTTCTTATACTGACTAAATATACCATTAACTTTTACATACCTTCAGTCTAGAAATGCATTTAGATTTCTTTGGTAGAGAAAGAACAATATTCAAGGAAGAACAGACATGGCATGGTATGGTCCACTCAAAAGGTCAACTAATGTAGCCTTTTGCCAAGTTCAGTTTTGTTCATAGAGTTCTATAGGCTGAGAGTTATGTATTTTGCTATGGGTTCCAGAAGTCAGGATTTGAAATACTGAATTTTGGGGCATGCTGAAGACTTGCTTAACACAAGCACTCTATTTTATTTGGTCTTGTGTCATCCTCAACAAGGTGATAAAACTAGCTTATATTGAATTTAAACATTGATTTCATTTAAAATGTTTTCCAGACAAGTTTCATATTTCCATATATTATAACATATAAATGCACAGAAGACAGCTTATGGTAGAATATGTTGATTGAATATTACTCACCAACATCAATTGCCAGATTTTGAGCCCAAACAGGAACAAAAAGAAAAAGATTTTGAATATTGATTTTTAGAGGCAGATCAGATTTTTCTGCTTATAATCGTGTGTTGCATCAGTTGTTTTTTTTTTATTTTTTAAACCATTTCACTCCAAGCAAGATGATAATGCCACTGAGAGGCAAAAGTTTACTGGGAGTAAAAGAGAATGAGAAAACTTCAGTGGAGAAAGGACAATAAAAGAACAGGGTTCAGAAAGACAGAAGATGGTGATTGGTAATGAATTTAATTATTTGAAAATTGTGGGTGGCAGAGAAGCAAGAAAGCGGAAGAGAGATCCACAGATGAGAAGTGTAAGAAAAGAAACAATTAGAATAGAACATTCAATTACATCTATTTCTACAGTAAAGCAATTGGACCTAATTGCCAGTCTAGTAGCATTCCTTAAATTCATGCAGTTAAGGGATCAAGGTGGAAAGCATATCAAAAATCATGAAAATATTTGTAGAAAAGACAGAGGGAAGTCATGACAGGATTACATTACAGACTCTTCTTTGGATTTTTTTAAAGAATTTTGTTATATATAGCAGGAGCACTAGACTAGATTGGCAGAAATATGCAATGCACAGGCAAATGGTAGATTTATAAATGTGCAAGAAGGATTTTGACGAGAAAAATTGTCTAGGAACCAACTATCATAGCAGTAGATCAAGCAATTGATTCAATCTAATAACTCCACTTCATGTAAGTGGAAAACATGAGCCAAAGTCGATGCAAAGATTTTCTCTCCTAGAGATTAGCATCAGGCATACTGATGGAAAGCAGAAAAAATTCTCTACCATGATTAAATGGTAGCAGTTTTGTTTTGGAGGTGTTAAAATTTTACAAGTAATTTCTTCCCTCAGTTAAACACTGATTGGAAGTCATTTTCAACAGCAGCTGTCATTTTTACTTTTTTGGACCTGCTACTAACAAAGGGGGAAATTGTTTTGCCATCAGCATAATTACTTAGTTCTTATACAAAACTTGTTCTTAAGAGCCATGGTGTGAAGTAACCTAGTTATTGTTAAAGATTTGTGGACCCAAGTATTAAAAATTAAAATTGTATTTCCATTATTGCTTCATTTTAAAACAAACCACTATTTTTTTATAGAAGTCATTATGATATTTGTTGGTATATAACAAGTGCCAACTATTTACATTTAATAACGTAAGCTAAAAACAATTACTAGTAATCAACAGTATGTGAATAAACATTAGCCTACCTAAGAGATTTTTTTAAAATTATTTTTTTATGAAAAAACGAAAAGGTGGATAGGGTTTTTTATGCTGTCTGTTATAGTAATTTGTAACGTTCTATCATCAGTAGGCAGACCCTGAAATTTTGTCTATCATTTGAATGGGTATTCTCTCAAAGACGTCCCTTGCTTTGAATGTTCAATAAGTTAACAGTTATCTTTTCCCATATAAACATTTCTTGTCTTCTCTTATGCTTATACACCACCATACAGTAACCCTCTATATTGAGTGGCTCTTGGGCCTTGTATAAAGTGAACATTAGTACATAAAATAAATGAAGTGTGGAGTGGTGGTCTTATATGCTATGAAATATGCATATAAGCATGAGGGAAAATTCAAAATCTTACCGCATGAAGTGGAAAGGCTGCGATGTAGGCATTGCCCTGAAGCCGTTTAATACCTGGATAAATAAAAGCAGAGAATCTAATTTTAAAAAATGCAAATTTTATTTTATATATATATATATATATATATATATATATATTTTTTTTTTTAATTACATAAATATTAAAATAAAATTTAATCAAGGAAGTCTAATTCTGACAGCTTCCTTCCCTATCATAGAAAATAAAATAAGAAAAACTTATCTGTAGTTTCGTAGAATTTCTTATAAGTAAACCATCCTTGTTTGTAGTTTCCTAAGATTATATATATATATATATATATATATATATATATATATATATATAGTCTTACCATATAAGTCAGTTTGGCTGGAACTTCTCCAGTTTATTGCCAGATCATTCTCCAAGTGCTTCTGGTTCCATGGAGCCCTGTACTACTTGTTGCATTGTAAGAAAGGTGTCTAGATTAATAACAGTAGGATTAAAAGCAAGACCTGTGAAAGGGTGGATGAAACTTCTTGTAGGTTCAATGACCATCTAGCACAATAAGGCAGACTGGAGTCCATAGTTATGTATGTAGCCAGTGCAGTGATGACATATTGCTGGGTGGAGGGCTTTCTAGGCTGAAGTCAATAATTAGGGCAAGGAGCTCCCCTGATGGGATCAATGTCTAAGTGTCCAGGATCAAGGCAAGCCTACAAGTTGGAGGACATTGACTGCAGTTTGATCTAAAGAGGGATGGTCTCAGCCAGGTGTAATTGCTTAATATAGGCTGTGAATAGAACTGGTTAGGTGCTGAGTAACCTTACAAACATGTCCAATCATGATGATCCAGTTTAAGACACCTGTCTCAGTATCACATTAGAGTAAAACTATCAGTAATCATTTTTATTTTGTGCCAGCTCTGAAGCTTAAGATATGTTGGGTCTGGTTGGAGACTTAGAAATTATGGTAAGTGAAAATAGATGTGTAGTTTTAATAGACTTGTCAGATTCTACCAGTTATAGAAAGCAGAACCAAACGATTTATTAAGATTGCTCAGACTATTGTCCTCATCTTTGTTGACATATTCACAACATTTCAGCCATTGGTATTCTTCAGCTGATTGGAATTTCAAACCAAACCCTTTATTTTGTCCACTGGGGTAGATTGTTCTAGAAGAAAGGCAGAGTGTACAATGGCCAAAATGTCATGAATATGACAACAAAGATGAAGACAATAGTCTGGACAATATAAATACTGTAAATAATTACAATACCTCTTCTTAGAAATATAGACAGATAATGAAATATTCTTAGTGTTGTAGAGTAGTTTTCACAGTGGAGGCTTGTATTTCGCTAAGTCGGTCCTAAAAAGGGTCCGGCGTACAAAATGTTAGGAACTTGAAATAAGAGTTAATGATGCAGCAATATAGTTGTGATGGTTGATACTTCAATGTCCAACATCGACTGACTCACTCAACTCCACTGAGCTCAACTGGCGACCGCTACTACTACTACTACTAATTATGTGTGGGAGAGTCTATTAATAATAGAATAGGTACGTTCAGGTATAACACTTAGGGAGGTGCAGAGTGGCATAACAGACACTAGAATAAAAACAGAATTTGTGAACTGAGTTTATGTTTCAGCCAAGGCTATTTGTGTTTACTTCACACTAATTTCCTAAGAAAAGGCATGAATCTATTTTTTAGGGTAAATAACAAAGGCAGAATAGGCTCTCTACTTTTGGTTGGTAACTAACAAAGAACCAATTCCAAAAGAAGAGTAAAGAGCCTAGGGGTAGGTCAGGCAATTCCTACAGTAAAAAATGCCACTGATTTTGAGGTTTCATAGTAACACTGAAAATAAAGAACAAGGAAGCAGAGCAGGACTCTCACTTTAAAAACATTCAGGCTTAGGTTACAATGCAAATCTACCCTGAACAGTTACAACCATCATTGGAACAATGGTTAACTAAGAGAGAAGAAAAATGTAGAGGGAAAAATGCTTTATTCTCAATGGTTGGTTGATATCTAATTGCAGAAATTGTTAACATGGGTTATAGGTCTTGACCAAAAGACATGATTGGTTGTCTGCCCCTGTCAACCTATAAAACATAAAAGCAGAATCAAAAAACTTGGACCTTCATAGAGAATATGAAAAATGTTTTTTCCCTTGACACTGCTATTATTTTAACTACCGCCACTCCTCAGTTATGTTCATAAAAGTGATGATTAGAATTTTAATAAAATCTAAACATATAAGAGTGATTTATACAGTTTCGTTGTTCTTAAGAATTTACAACAAAAGTAATAAACACTTTATTAAATTGTCTATTGTTTTATTGGAATGGTTTACACTATTGTTTATTAGAATGGTTAGCAAAACAAAAAATTTTAACATTATAAAATGATAAATAATAAAGGTTTTCTTACAGTTGGTTCACATATTGTAATAATTTATAATTTAATATTTATAAATTTATGAATAAAAAATAGTTTTCATATTTTATTTCTTTATAAATTGGTAAATGATAAATACTTCATAATGCTCAAGAACAAAAAATAAAATAAATTCACTTTCATCATGTTTAGGTTTCATTACAATTCTAATTCTTATTTGTGGGCAGGAAGGTCCAAGTTTACTGCAAAATCTTACTTTATGGATTAGTTTTTCTTGTGTACCAATTGAGTCTGGAATCTACCACTTGTCTGTTTTACACTGGTAGCCAAGTGTAGTTAAAAGGAAATATATCTGCTGAAATTTGTGAATAACATTTAAGTTTTCATGACCATATTTATTAGATACACATGGTATAAAAATAAATCTGCTGAAAATTCCAATGAAGCTGATATTATCCATGAGAAAGAACAGTGATAGCATTTTTCTCTGGAGGAAAAAATGTATTTGTTTTTTTAAAAGTAGAAAGTTTTAAATTTTTTTTTTTTTTTTTTGGCAAGTCATATGTTGCTTACTTTGTTTTATTGATGTAATAAAAATTAAAAGCAGAAAAAATATCTGTTAAAAGAAATGCTTCAAATAATTTGGTAGCGCCTCTACTGCATGCGGATATGTATGAAGCATGGAGAAAGTAGAAGGAATTATGGGAAATAGCCACAAATGTTTAGGAATAGAAAAGAGCATCTACTGTTATTCTCACTTTAGAAGTTAAAAGGTGTTGTGTTGGATATGTGAACAAAGAACATGAAATGGAAAATATCTTATACTAAATTAGACATTGTATCAAGAAGACAGGAACCAATCTGAATTTTTATCCTGTGGATTTTTGAAGAAACATTAGAAACCTGCAAATATCTAATTAATTGAATTTGGCCACCTTGTAGCAAAATTCAGAAACAATCTTAAATTACCATTTTTTTTTCTTTTTGGTGAGGGACTAATTGAAAAAATTATAAATAATTTCCATTTTCTTAAAACCTCGCATCCCATAATATTTTCATTGTAATAAAAGAAATTTTTTAAAGTTCAAATCAACTGGTACAATAAAGGGAAACACCCAGTAAAAGATTAATTAATAAAGAAACTCAAAGCTTTGTTCAGACAAATGAAATTTTATGTTTCCTCCTTTTTTTATCCATTTTGCAGTGGGAAGGATATTAAAACGATAAACATTATTAAGAGTAACAAAGGATAAGAAGTTGTGGAGACCCATGATTGCCCACATTCTAAAGTGACACTGTACATAGAAGACCCTCTAAATTAAGGCTGTAATACACAAAGATGCTTATTTTCCAAATAAAGCTTAAATTGCTACAAATAGAAACATCTTAAAATAGCAGCAAATATAGAAAGATGTTACATTAGGTGCTTCAGTTTCAAAATGCAAGAAATTTTACTGATCAATATGGCAAACAAATTGGATGTTTAGTTATAATATAATTCAAAATTCTTAGACTGTTAATAATTAATTTTGACTGGTATTTCCAATTGATGGCTGAAGATTGATTTCAAATAATGTAGTACAGATGCGGCTTTTTAGTTCTGATAGGGTCTTATATTCTCTTGTGCAGATCTAGCAATAGTGGGCATTTTTTGTAGTTGTTACAGAAATGCTGCATAATATGTAATGAATTCTTAATTGTAGAATAGTTTGTTTCTTTAAGAGCATATCAACTCCTTATGGGTCATTTAAGGTCAAAATTTAATTTTCTTGGGAGCTTGAGTAATTTTTTCTTTTCATAAAGATGGTAACTTTTTTTTTTAAATTTATACTTTCAGTTTTAGACCCCAGTTTGGATTTTCACTATTTGCATATAGCTTGGACCCTAACAGGTGTTACCACCCTGGATCAGGGTGGACCTGGGAACAACAGCAATTAAGAGGTGGTTCCATGCTCCTCCAAAACTTCCCAATCAGTGGTCTTGCCAATTACAGAATACAAAAACTATATCTTGATATATATTTTGAAAGCCCAAATGATTTATGCTATCTTATAAACATTAAAAGCAACATGAAGTTGCCAACAGTTGACACAAAATAATTTAATTGCTAGAAAATGATTCTTTTGCTTTCAAAAACAGTAAAAAGTGTGTGTAGTTTGTTAGGATTTAAAAAACCTGAGCATTACTTTAGCGTTTATTACTTGTGCAAAAAGAAAAATAAATAAAAGTATCCACTCCAAAGTACTAACTTGGAAAATAAATACTGCTTTTAAGCTATCAGTAAATCCACAAGACAGATGCAGTGAATCAATTTAGTCAATTACTAACTTGACCAACTGTAACTAAAGTACAATTCTAGATAAAGGCCTTAAAAGCCTTTCCTGTTAAGCATCAATAAATCAGTATAAAGCAAGCAAATGTCGATTTGACAAGTTTTAAGAGAAAAATTTTGACAGTAAACCAAAGTGTATGGTTCAATTCACTTAAAAAAAATTAAGAGATTTTATATTGGCCTTGCAATAGAAAATAAATCCATTTTAAAATGTCATTATCTTTATACATGTGCAGGAGCCATTATATACAAAGCAGAAGAGTAACTAATTGGGTTACTTACAATTTATCATAGAAGTTTAAGTCAATAATAAACAAAAGATAGCATAGAGAACCCAATGC